ACTCGTAGATGGTTCTTGAAGTTCGTGAGTGATTCTTATTTGGTTCTTATGCCAGGCTGACACTTGCACGACTTTTGGCCACGATTTTGTCGTGGCAAGTCGTGCCATTTTGGGGCACGAACTGGGAGGCTCCCACACTGTTCACGACTATTTCACGTATAGTTCACGAATGCATGCCCATCAGTGACCACATTGACACGAAATGGCACGACGAGTTCACGCATAGTTTGCGCATAGTTTGCGCATTGTTTATGCACTTCCCGCAGTGGCACGACGAGTGTGGGTCAGGGAATGGTGGGTCAGGGAATGGTTGACCAGAAGGCAAGAGTTTGGACAGTATAACAGTTTACTGACTGAACTCTACAAGGAAGATCAAAGGGGCTACAAAAAATACCTCAGAATCACACCTGACCTGTTCCAAGAGATGGTTGAGAAGTAATCCCCTCGCCTCCAGAAGCAGTCCACCTTCATGAGGGAATCGCTTCAAGCTGGACTCAAGCTAGCTGTCACCCTCCGCTTCCTAGCCACTGGAAATTCCTATCCAAGTCTGCAGTACAGCTTCAGGGTTGAAGCAACTACCATCTGCAAGTTCATACCCGAGGTGTGTAAAGCCATCATCGCGGTCTATAAGGACGAAGAGCTGCGCTGCCCAAAAACTGAAGAGGAGTGGAAGGAAGTTACTGCCAGGTTCAGCTCCAGATGGAACTACCACAACTGTCTGGGGGCTGTGGACGGCAAGCACATCGCCATGAAGAAGCCACCCAATGCTTGCTCTTACTACTACAACTACAAGGGCTTCCACAGCATTGTTCTGATGGCAGTGGCAGATGCTACCTACAAGTTCCTCTATGTGGATGTTGGGGCAGAGGGTGGTGCGTCGGATGGAGGAACATGGAGTAACTGTTCCCTGCATGATGCTGTAGAAGAGAACTGTCGCGCAGTAGTCGTGAACTATTCGTGGCAGTTCGCGACAGCCGTGGCATGGCGCGCACTGCCACACACTGGCACGCATCCTCCCGCATCGTCCCGACGAGTTCACGAACAGTTTGCGCATAGTTCACGACCCGGTCGATAAATTTTGTCGTGACCAAAATTTTGAACATTTCAAAATTCTCGTCCCGACATGGCACGCAGTCACGACGGGTTTACGCACACTTCACGCCAGTTTACGACTAGTTTGCGCACCGTTTGTAACATATTGTTCTCGTATTTATATAGCTTTATATAGGAAGACTGCTAAGGCTAGGTTATGTTCAGTCCGACGTGGTTTCCCCTTGTCAGTGGTGCAGAACAGAGGGCCTGACAAGGACAGCTGTCTAGTCCTTCGAATGAGACAAAAAAACGAGGTCCCGTGTATACATTGAAATGCACGTAAAAGATCCCTTGGCAGTTGGAATTCGATATAAGAGTAGGCGACAGTGCCGCTGCCCGGGCAAAAATTCCCTCATAGCACACTGTATGGCGTATGTCCGTCTTCATTAGCCCAGTATAGGAGCAGAACAGTAGAACGTTAAACCCCATTTCATTTCATTTCAGGTTATGTTCAGACATAACTTGAATAAACAGTGCGTTTAAAAAATTAAGGGTGTGCATTCTTGTGAAATGATGCTTTTTCTGAAAGTCTCACATTGACGATAAAATAAACCTCATCTTCCAATATACACAAGTTATAAAGACAAATTCTATTTTCTCTAGGTGTGCCCCGCTATCTACCAGTTTCTACTGCCAGGTGGTGATTACTTGATGAGAGATTTGTGGAATTTGATCTTGATACAACTAAGATAATTTTCAAATACTAAACTAGTGTTATAATTCTTATGCAGGTAATGTTTTCCGGACGCCTCCAACCTTTCTTTGTAAGTTTCTTCACTAATGGGGCTGTCACACATTGACGTATAGCATCCGCGTATGCCGAAGTATGAGAAATTTAGCAAACACGCTGGTGTACGTTGAATACGTTATGGGTACGTTTTTAACAAGTTACGAGCACGCTGAAATACGATGGTATATGTTGTTGTACGCCGAACGCGGCCCAAAATTTTGTGCATGCATAAAATTTTCAGCGTATGCTGACGTATTGCTTACAGGTTAGGCGTAAGTTAGAAATACGCGACAGGTTAGTTATGCACGCGTTCACGCAGGTTACATGTAAGTTACTCATAAGTTGACATACGTCGGCTACCAGCAGGGCAACTGAGCAGCGCACGCGTAACTTATTTCTAACCTATAGGCAACTTCCTTCTGACGTCCTTAGAACTTACTGAACGTGTTTAAAACGTGTGTAGAGGAGAGCATGTGCAGAAGTCTACAATCATGGCGCGCCCTGAGAGGCTGCGGCGAGAGTACCAAATAGCCGTTTGGGGCTTGAGAGGAGGTCGAGGCCTGCTTGTCGTTAAAGGCTTGAGAGGACGTCAAGGCCTCAGATTCCGCCACATATACTACTGAGGACGCATTCGATCCGCACAAGGGCGCTGTTGGCTATCATCGTCAGAATGGTGGTCAGATGAAGATTGGGACGAGGGTGGGCGTGGAAGTGGTAAGGATAAAGATTGCTTAGGTCGGCCCCTTCCTGCAACTTTCCTTGATTTTTTTGGAGGTATGTTGATCAATCGACGTCCACTTCAAAGTTACGACAACTCATTTCCAGGCACCATTTTGGCTCCCAATTATGACGCCATAAAAGCAATGACGTCATGTCGTCATACAGCTTTACTTACCAAAACGTTTCATTTTTTTTTCTTGTAGTATTAGGCGGGGAAGGATAACGTTTTACCCTAAAACAATGCAAAAGAAACCAATGCAGTTTGGTTCAGTGATAAATATGTCGGGAAATTTTCTGAGAGCGATATCTCGTAATCAGTGTGTTTTACTATTTACTGGTGGGAGGATAAAGGGTTTATTTTTAAATTCCTCAAACACAGAGTGGTTATGCAAGTGAAATGTGCCGAAAAATCGAATTTGACATTTAAAAAAAAACAACAACATAAATTTGGTAATAAAAGGGCATATCTCGTAAGATACGTAATATATGACTTTTGCTATGTCTTTTATATGGTTTTCGATGTCTCTGAATTTGAAGATATATTTTGAAAATACAAAATGGCAGCAACACAAATCGGCGGATATTAAATTAATCGTCATTTTTCCTGTTGGATATTAGATAGTGTCTCTAAACCATGATGTACCCTGTAATTCAGATTGAGTCTCTAAACCGGGATGTATCTGTAGTTCGGATAAAGCCTCTCTAAATAATCGCGTAAACTGTAGTTATGATAGAGTCTCTAAACTATGATGCATCCTGTAGTTCGATATACCCTGTAGTTCAGGTAGAGTCTATAAAGCATGATGTACCCTGTAGTTTGATGTACCCTGTAGTTCCGATACAGTCTCTAAACCGTGTTTACAGTGTAGTTTGGATGTAGTTCGTCAAATGAAGATGAATTTACGATATATCAATCCCGAAATAACAAAGTTTTTTCTTAAATGAATATATTGTAAACGCGCTTTAAATATCTGGATGCGATAGACTTCTTGTGGAAAGGTACATTAAATCATTGGCAATAATAAAGATCCAATTTGTAGTTACACACTGTTAACCACCAATTTATTCAGCTCGATGTAAGACTTAAATATAAATAGATACAGTTGGTTTAATTTGAATAGATATTTGAATTATCTATGCTGTATATATTCATATATCACCTTGCAGCTGAATCATATTATATATCTTTTTAGTTGATGTTCATATCGTCTTATGTATTTATCAACATCAAGGTGAACTTGTTCCATTGTCCCATTACCCTATTTAGACTTGTTACCACGAATTTACTCACCCCACCCTCGCATAGTTATGAATTTCTCGTTTCACTTGACTAAAGAAACATTTTGTAGGAATATATGCTTTTATAGATTGAACACTTGTTTGCGTTATCATTTTCGGTGGAAACGGGCACTATACCTAACGAATGACCAAATAGCGGAGATGGGGTTTCAGCCGGCTGATCTAAATTATATCTTTAGATACAGTAAAGCTTGAAATATGCCAGTTTTCACTCTTTAGAATGTTTTTGTAAACATGTTTTTCATTGTAGTTTCCGTGACATATTCCCAATAAGTGTTAGAAACAAAGATATACATCCTTAATCGCGATGCCGATATATGTTGGGTTGTGTGGAACATGCTAAAGGCGATTTGTAACAAATCTCAGGTACGATATATGTCTGATACTGGTTGAGAACAGCATCAGAACAACATGATTGTTTTCATTGGAGATGGGGCGCAAATATTCAAAGGGGTCAGACAAACCCTAAACCAACTGCGTCCCTTTCATTGAGCCCTGTCCGTCTACCTGTGGAATAACATGTATTTGTATCTGTTAAATTTGTGTGGTTTATATATTAGACAGATTGGTATTATTTTTACATAGCCGGGGAGTGATAACGTCTTACCCAAAAGTGGGGGAATGAATAATTTCTTTTTAAATTTTTCAAACACAAACTGGTTATAGAGGCGAAATGTGCCGAAAACAGAATTTGACAAAAATTCAAAAAATGTATTTTTCATATGTATGGCGCCGGGCATATCTATATACAGCTTTGCTCCGCTTTTATATCTGACGTCACGTTAGGCATAAGTTAGGCATAAGTTAGACTAACGTTGTGTATGAGTTCTGCATAAGTCAAGAACGCTAAAAATTCGCTGGGCACACGCTGTCATATTATGCTTGTATAAGTTCTGTTTACGTTGGAGATAAGTTATGAATAAGTTACTCATACTTTAAACATAGGTTATATATTCATTCAGCGCGTTAGAAGTACGTTATATGCGTCCAAAAGGAGCGTCTTCTTGATTTTTAAATTCAGCTTCAGCGTAAGCCAGCGTGTTGGATAATTATTTCATACGTCGGAGTAAGTTGTCTAAAACGTTATAGTGGGACAGGCCCATAGTACAGAATAAACGAATCTTTAACTAAACTGTAAAGAAAAGGAAATGCTACTCACACTTTGAGATATCCAGGCGTGTTGTAATCCCAACTGAGCTAGAAACATTTCGATATGTGTCGCCCACTTTGAGCGGTCTACACAATGTAAATTGTACAGAGGTTTATAGCATGCGTTAGGGTATATATCGACAGACATCCTGGTTATCTTTAGTCAATCTTTAATCACTTTATACTTATGAGTGACATGAATAGGGTGTCTCCCTAGATCGCCATACACTGCTATGCTGGGGGTGTATGAGGTGACATGTAGAAGTATCTTACAAAATTTAAGGTGCACTTGTTCAATATTTGGATACTCGACATAACCCCATACTTCAGAACCAATGCAAGAATTGGTACCCTCCTATCAAACAAAAAGAGGGATTTCTCTGTTGTTAAATTGAATTTACAGCTAAATTTGTAAAGAATATTCGTAGCTTTTGCTCCTTGTTGTGCTAGATGAGAGCAGGTGCTAAAGCTAATTAGAGGTAAGCAGAACACCTAACTATTTATATGCTGAGACAACCTCGTTTGTCCCTCCTTCATAATATAATTTTTAGTATCCTTCTAAATACGAGGACTTTTGTTTTATTTTCATACCGACCAAAATTCCCTTTCACATTATTCTTTAATATAACAAATTTCAAAATATCATGTCGAACATTGTCGTAGGCCTTCGAGAAATCAACAAATAAACAATAGAATCTACCTTTTTTGCGTATGAGATATTTTTTAATCAGAGAGTATAAATTTAAAATGTTATCTGAGGTACTACATCCCTTCCTGTAACCACATTGTTCTTCATTGAGTGGGTGGTTAGTGTTGCACCATTTGGTTAGTCTGATATTTAGAATTTTAGTGAAGACATTACCTAACACTGACGATGATGAGATGCCTCTGCAGGATCTGTCCTATCACCTTGTTTATGGATTGGGGAAATAATAGCCTTACACCATAACTCTGGGTATTCTCCCTTTTCTAAAATGTAATTAAACAATATTGCCATATGTGGAATTAAACTATATATATAAGGCATGATGTAAGTGTTCATTTAGAATTCCATCTGGGACATGCGCCTTTCCATTTTGGGATTATTATTGGCTTGTTCAACGTCTTCGCTTGAAATTACCTCATTCAATATATTTCCAGAAACCTCATCTGTGTTTTCTAGGTAATCATTTTCTTCTAATTTCTGAAAAACCTCACTTTGGAAACTTCCATTTACTGTGGTTGTGAAATCGTTAAATAAGGAGCTAAAATAGGCATACCAATCTACTGGTGATATATTACTGGAATTCGAGGTGCCAGAATTAAGAACGTGTTTAAGATATCTCCACAAGTCAGCATTGTTATTTGTATTAAATGGTAGATTATTGCATATTCTATCCCGGTTCTCTGCGAACTTTTTTGTACTTGCCTAAATTTTCGTGATTGGTACACGCTCTCCATGTATCTAACAATTTGTATTTGAAACACTTACTCCTTTCACATTCACTATCCCATCGCATAGGTTGTCGTACATTCATACAATTAACAGGCAATTTTATCATTACCATTCCATTATCAGTTGCTGCATTGGTTATAGCTTTATTTATTTTTTAACCATGCTGTTAACATCACACTCTCTGTATAGTTCTAAGAATGTTTCATAAAAACTTTCATTCAGTGTTACATTAATTGAGTTCGTATACTCCACAGCTTTGGCTTGGTTACATCTGAGTCGGTTCCATTTGTTAGCTACCTTTGATTGTGAATTTTGTTCTATTACATCTTCTCTTATATTACTGTCAAGGTTTAAAGAGAAGTGGCCAGAGTATTCATTGCATAAGATTGCATGAGAGACAAAGGTGAATTCTCCTAAAGCACGGTCATTGAGCATATGAATATTCATAGTTCTGCACAGTGATATAAGTGAATTACCGAAGTTATTGACCACTTTATCCTCCGACTTCCGTCTCACCTCAAAATTATCGACATTTAGGTATCTACTATAAAATCGTTCTCCTCTCCACGGGCATAAAATCGCCGACTAGCACATAATATAAATCACTACCATACCCTAGAGTTATATCGTTTAAATTATTTTCTAAGTTTACTCTACCATCTGATTCAGATTTCTCGTATACTTTAGATGAACTGGGAGGTATATAATCAAAGCAAAAAAAACCCATCATTCTTGTTGTAAAAAAAGCTTCTGAAATGAAATAAATTCCATTTGTATAATTGTGACAAATTCTCTTGAATAAAGGACAACCTCTTAGACAATGGAGCAATGTTTATACCCCATTAATAGATCTGCAAACTCGGTTTCCTCATTTGCCCAGGTTTCTACATTCCATGAAAGAAAGTTAATGTTTGTAGCACAAAACGTATTACATCTAATAGCGGAAAAGCATTCTCAGCATATCGAAAAAGGTGACGAAATGTTAGAAAAATTGTGGATTTTGTAAGTCGAATGGGTACGAAAACCAGAACGCCTGTAACTTTTTTTGCCCAAGGCCGATTTTGGTGGATTTTTTTTCCTTAAGTTGTACTCATATAGACCTTTCATAAAAAAACAAAGATTCATTTGTTTCGTTTTTTCCCCAGCTCACCTGGAAATGAAAAGGCACAATCATACCTAAATGTTCGATTTCCTATAACAATAGTGTATTGTTTTATAGGGTTTTCTTTGACTCACCATGAATGCCAATAGAACACTTAAAAAAATTGGAAATAATTTTGATCTGATTTTTCAGGCTTATGGAGTAACATATTACTTTATTACAACCTGTTTGGAATGGTTAACAACTGAATATTGATCTGGGTTGCTATTCTTATATCATCTAAATTTGTCAAAAGTTTGAAATCGGTGTTTGCAGCGGGTAACGTATACCCAGATTGACCGATTGTTTCCTCATTTTTTCTCATCGGAAAAGACATGTCACCACTAGCTTCGATTTCTAGTGTTTAACAGTGAAAATTCCCAATTTTTAACTGGCTTTCATTTGCACTGAAATGGGTTCTGTCAGTCCTTCCGTCCCGATTTTGTTTCCTGTGCATATTTCGTAAACCGTTCAAAATATCTATCTAAAACTTTGTACACATATCAACTCATTCCAGTTGTTGTGCATTTTGCTATTTAGGAGTTTATGGATTTAAATTTTTTGTGTTTCCATGGAAACAAATTTGAATTAGCTTTTGGTGTACAACTTTGTTTCCGGAGCATTCAAGATATCTTTATGAAACTTTGTACAAACATTAACCTATTACAGTAGTTGTGCCTTTTGCTATTTAGGAGTTTATGGATTTATATTTTTTGTGTTTCCATGGAAACAAATTTGACTTAGCTTTTGGTGTACAAATATCTTTATGAAACTTTGTACAAACATTAACCTATTATAGTAGTTATGCCTTTTGCTAATTTGGATTTTTTGGGATTTAAAAATGTTTGTGTTTCCATGGAAACAAATTTGACTTAGTTTTTGAAATTTCACTACGCATTTGAATTAGTTTTTGGTATATAATTAGAGAATATCTCAGAAACTGTTCAAGATACTTTTATAACACTTTTACTTTCATCAACCTATTATTTTATTTTCTGGTGACCGTCCTTCCGTCCCGATTTCATTTCCAGAGCATATTTCATTATCCGTTCAAGAAATCATTTTGAAACTGTATACAAACATCAAACTAAGTATTTTATTTTCTGATGTATAAGCTTAATGTTTAACATACAGCAACTGGTGGAGGTAGGCAAGGGTTGTTGTGCAATCTTACAGGGAGTACCCTGTGATCAGGGTATGATATTCCAAGAAATTGTTTTTCCTTATGCCTTCTAAACAAGTGCAACGGCGTAGGATGGTGATGACTAGTCATCCTGTTTCACTAATATTGGACCTCAACAAAGAGAATTGTTTATTCATATTATTGTCTAAGGATTTAATGCAATCGAATTATTCAGTATGTTGTTGATGTTCATTATCTAATGACCCTCCACTATTTCTGTCAGCAGTAGTCGTCGAGGAGAATGGCAATTTCGTTTGATTCTGACCTCTCGTTTCGGGGGAAGGGTTCTGTTCAATCCCTCCTTCAGAAGAAGAATAGTGAAAATGAATATCAGATAGGCTGCAGATCCATAAAACATAATTTTAAGGCCTGTATGGCAGCTACTGCTCATCAAAATACGAAAAACATTTCACCAAAATGGTGTCTTGTTTATACTGACTACCCACGCTTCCTCATTTTATGTGAAGTTTACTCCGTTTTCTTCGTCTATAATCGTCCATAATATTCCCGTACTATCTCCATCGTCATATATTTTACTAATAGATTCTTATATAACTTAGACTGGACTAGTTCAGCTTTCATTGGGGTATTTTCATAGCTTTATCGGCATTATTCGTGGAATTCAGCATATTCGTAAGCAATTCGGCATATCCGTAAATCATTCGTAACTGAATCGCTTCAATTCGTAAAGATGATTCTTCCATTTTGTAGAACCCTACCCTAACATCCGGCATATTTTTCACCCGATTACCCACGAATTATCGTAACTATTTCGTAAACTATTCGTAACTGCTTCGCTGCTACTCCAGATTCTCTACAATCTTTTTTTATTATTTTTTGTCTATTCGGTGCGATTCGTAGCATTCGTAGCCCACGTAAAAGCCAGGCATAATACATTTCCGATATACTATATAGAATCGACGTCTATTCTGTTGACTTCGGTTATTTCATGAAAGTGTATTTCCGTACAGGAATATTGGATGGTAAACGCTTGTTCAATGCACACAATTTGCGCACAATTTCGAAGTTCGATTCGTTTGTATGCCTTTTTCATTTAAAGGTAAAGAAAGAATACGATTACAATCATATAAATGTTAATGTCTAACTCCACTTACGCTCTAGTCACATTTCAAGTTTTACAACCCGTAAATATTTGTATGATATTTATGTATACGTCATTTACGGGTTAATTTAGAACAATATATTTAACAACCTAGATATTTTAAATCTAATACATATCTAATATATCTGTATATTTATTGAAATCATTCATTGGTAAGGGAGGATATGTCAGTTGCAGATTAAAGCGTGCATTAAGAAATA